CACACACACTCTCTCTCTCTCTCTCTCTCTCTCTCTCTCTCTCTCTCTCTCTCTCTCTCTCTCTCTCTCTCTCTCTCTCACACACACACACACACTCACACACAGAGAGAAAGAAAAAAGCACCCTGCAACTCTGGATGGCATGTATGGCATGAGCTTGCTTCAAAGATCAAATGGATGCTCCAAAGCATTTGGTGAACAAGATTGCCAAGCACAGACTGGATGGATGCACTGACGGATGGATGGGCTAGTGGGTAGGTCAGCAGGGAGAGAGATGGAGAGAGCGAGACAGTCCTCCCGCAGCCCTCAACTGTCATCACTTTCAAGTTTCAACACCCCTTGTGCAGGGGCCATTTCTCGATTTATGTGTATCATCCTTGAGCGAGAGGCGGTTAACGGAGACCCAAAATTTCAGCGTTTTTTTAATGCTATTTATAAGAAAACCGGGAAGCCTTTTTAACCAAAAATTGCATCATTCCATAGAGTGCACACCATATTAACAAACCACCACAACAAAAAAAAAGCGAAAAAAAAACAAAAACAAAAAAAAACAGGGTGAAACGGTTAGGCAAAAGTGCACTTGACTGAAATTTTGCAATGAAATTATGAAAACAGTTTACCCCGTTAACCACCGGTGAGTCACAACAATGACTGGTACTACCTGAGCATTCACACCATCCACTCAATCCTCCTCCTCTCCCCTGCTGAAAACAATCACATTTCTGTTCTTTCTGGCGGGCTTACGTTATAGTCGAGGAAAGAACTTGTGGTGAACGAAGCGGTCGATAGGTTTCTCTCCTTAAGAATAGAACCGCAACCATACTGGGCAGAAGCACTTGTGTGGGTATATTTTTTACTATGTTATGATGAAATCCTTAGACTTGAAGGTGGTGGAATAGGAACCAGACTGGTGCTCCCCCAGAGTGGCCAAGGAGCCATAACCATAAGATTTGTTTGGTTGTTGTTGTTCTGTGTTGTGTGTGTTCAGTTGGACACTACAGCCTTGCAGTGGTGGGGTGGATATCATCATATCACGACCGGTATGGTTCCACTTACGACCACCATGTCCTGCCTGCAGTGGTTAAGGTAACTGGCTCTTGAGGCTGAGGTCACCGGTTCGTATCCGTGCTTGCACAGGGGAGGACGTCCGGCTCATGCTGGGATAGGTAGCGACGTAGCGGCATCCTGTGCCCCAGCTGTTGGGGAGCTGCTGGGATGGGGATGTCATCTTGTAACCCCAATTACGGAGAGCTACTTGTGAAGATTCATGCTGCTGCTGCTGCTGCTGCTGCTGTTGTTGTTTTGCCCTTCTTCTTCAAAAAACTGGAGAGAGATAGAGAGAGATACTGTGACTCGTAGAAGTCTATGCATGGGTCTCAAGATGACGATGTGTGTGTGTGTGTGTGTGTGTGTGTGTGTGTGTGTGTGTGTGTGTGACTCATAGAAGTCTATGCATGGGTCTCAAGATGACGATGGATCTTCAGACCCATGCATAGACTTCTTAACTCGCTTACCTGTAATGCCTTGAGCCCTGTAACCTTCCGATCCGTGCCCATTAGCAGAGCCACATAAGCTTCCGTCGCTTTGCACACGTCCTCCTTGTTGCTTCCAGCGGGAGGTATAGGAGTGAGACCCTCTACCTTCTCAGCAAGATCAATTTCTACCTGTGCTCGCCGAGCATTTAACGACACACAAACAGAGACAATAGCCAAGAGTCCCAAGACCACCAAAGTTTTAAATCGTTATTAACACTTTCAACGTTAAGATCGTAAACGCTCTAAATCGTCCGCGGTTCAAATCATCATCAATCAGTCATGAACAGCATAACATCAGACTGAGATACGAACACGGTCCGGTCCGACCAATTCTAGTGAAGCGATCACACGACAAAGTGGGGTATATAGATGCAAAACAGATATCACACCCATCAGAGACAAGGTAACATCAGGAGATAATTCTTGAAGAAAGAGATTTTAAAGGGGAAAGTAGATCCATACATGACCACACGGTGCTCAGTGTTGCACCCTGTACACGTACTGGGGCCTCACGTACTTGTACAAACATACGCGGGCTCGTACACAGCGGTCATCCAGGGTAAAAGAAAACAGGAAAAAAGAACAACAGCAACAACAACAAAATCTGGGAAAACAATATTATGCAGCATTTCAACAACTTTCGGCTGAGAGTCATCTCGAACGTCATAGCCAAATCGGAGGGGGATTTCTTTTTCGTACACCGTACACATACATGAGCTGGCGAGTGCCAAGTACACGTACTTGTACAGGAATGGGTACATGTACATGGCATGTAAATGAGAATGTGGCGCGTATGCATACACGGTGCGACACAGACAGTGCTGAATTTGATTTTTTTTCTACTGCAACAATCGAACTGACTTGGTTGTTGCCCCCAGGGCACTTATTGTGGAGACTTGAAGCGCTGCCTGTAAGCCATGGGAATTGGTCCCTTTTACAAAATGATAACAGTAACAAATAATAACAATGATTAAAAAATCCTCTCCCCACTACACCTCTCTCCCCTCCCCCCCCCCCCCCCCCCCCCCCCCCCCAAAAAAAAAAAAAAACAACGTTTGTAACGGTTTGTTTCAGAAATTCATAGCTGATCACTAATCCTTCCACCAAGCTTTTTTTATTATATAATAAATCCATTTGATGGTGAAATAATCAACGAAGGTTTGTTTCAGAAATTCATAGCTGATCGCTAATCCTTCCACCAAGCTTTTTTTATTATATAATAATATTAATAAATCCATTTGATGGTGAAACAATCAACGAAATCAGATCCAAACCATTGTACCAATAATGACATAAATGATCATTTCTGTGAAAATTTTGGAGTCTTTGGTCACGTTTGACTCTGCGAGCACTGCCCACTATCAATGTGTATCAGTTTATGACACGAGCGATAGGACCTTGGGTATTCACAGATGTAGATGTGAAACAACTGGGGGAGGAGTGGGTAGAGGGCAGAACAATATTGAAAATTAAGGACGCAGCTGTCAGCTTGTTACTCAGCGCAAAGAAAACTTACAAGAAATCTGGAATTTGAAATCCAGTTTTGTTCATCTTTTCTGTTCATTGCACTTCATTCTGCCCATCAGGGTCCCATCTCCAACTTCAAAAACAGCGGAAAGGAAAGTTTAGAAACTGTATTGAAATATCCTTCAGGACATCCGTTAAAATTGCAACGATACAGAGAAGGAAGATTAGCATGGCCCCTGTGCAAGGATGACATGCATAAATCGAGAAATGGTCCAAATTTAAAAAAAAAAAAAAAAAAAAAAAAAAA